AACAACAGACACACAGATCAATGGAACAGAATTGACAGCCCAGAAATAAACCCATGCGTCTATGGACAGCTAACTTTCAACAAAGGAGCCAAGAACATACAGTGGAAAAAGGAAAGTCTCTTTGATCAATGGTGTTGGGAAAACTGGACAGCCATATGCAAAAGAATGAAAGTAGACCACTACACCATACACAAAAATTAACTCAAAATGGATTATAGACTTGAATGTAAGACCTGAAACCATAAAACTCCTAGGAGAAAACATAGGCAGTACACTTTTTGACATTAGTCCTAGCAATACCTTTTGGATATGTCTCCTCAGGCAAGGGAAACAAAAGAAAAAATAAACAAATGATGCTACATCAAACTAAAGAGCTTCTTCAAAGCAAAGGAAACCATGGACAAAACAAAGAGGTAACCTACTGATTGGGAGAAGGTATTTGCAAATCATGCATCTGATAAGGTTTTAATATCTGAAATATATAAAGAACTCATACAACTCAAGAACAAAAAAATCAATCAGATTAAAAAAGGAACTGAGGATCTGAACAGATATTTCTCCAAAGAAGATAATACAGATGGCTGGCAACTCAACAACAAAAAGACAAACAACCCAATCAGAAAATGGGCAGAAGATATGAACAGACATTTTTCCAAAGAAGATATAAAGATGGCCAATAGGCACATGAAAAGGCACAGACACATCACTAATTATTAGGAAAATACAAATCAAAACTACATTGAGATATCACCTCACACCATCAGAAGGCTATAAGTAACAAGAGAAGAAATAACAAATGTTGGAGAGGATGTGGAGAAAAGGGAACCATAATACACTGCTGGTGGGAATGCAAACGGGTGCAGGCACTATGGAAAACAGTATGGAGATTTCTCAAAAAATTAAAAGTAGAAATACCATATGTTCCAGCTATCCCAGTACCAGGTATTTATCTAAAGAACATAAAATCAACAATTAAAAGAGATTTATGCATCCCTATGTTCATGCAGCATTATTCACAATAGTCAAAATCAACAGGTGAATGAATAAAGAAGATGTGAGATATATATATATATATATACACAATGGAATACTACTCAGCCACAAAAAAAGACAAAATCCTCCCATTTGTGACAACATGAATGGACCTTGAGGGTATTATGTTAAGCAAAATAAACCAGACAGAGAAAGACTAACACAGTATGATTTCACCCATATGTGGAAGATAAACAAATACATGGATAAAGGGAAGATTAGTGATTCCTAGAAGGAAGGGGGTGAGGGGAAAACGAAAGGGGTAAAGGGGCAGATATGTATAGTGACAGATAAAAACTAGACTATTGGTGGTGAACACAATGCAGTCTATACAGAAACAGATATATATAATGTATATATAAAATGAAATTTACACAATGCTATAAGCCAATATGACCTCAACGGAACAATTTTTAAAAGAGTGAAAAGACAACACACAGAATGGGAGAAAATATTTGCAAACCATATACATGATCAGTGTCTAGTATCCAGAATAATAAAGAACTCATAACTCAACAAGAAAAAGGTAAACAATCCTTTTAAAAAAAAAAGTTAAGGACTTGAATAGACATTTCTCTAAAGAAGATATACAAATCGTCAATAAGCACATGAAAAAATGCTCAACATCATTTGTTATTAGAGAAATGCAAAACCACAATGAGATACCACTTCACACACACTAGGCCAGCTACAATAAAAAAACCGACAATAACAAGTGTTGGTGAGAAGGGGAAGAAATTGGAACCCTGTACGTTGTCGGCAGGAATGTACAATGGCACAGACTCTGTGGAAAACGGTTTGGCAGCACTTCGGTAAGTCACACATCAAATGACCATAAGGCTGAGCAATTCCACTCCTAAGTATATACCAAAAGAATTGAAAACATTTGTTCAAACAAAAACTTGTACACAAATGTTCATAGCAGCATTATTCATAGCAGCCAAAAGTCCATCAACTGATGAATGGATAAACAAACTGTGACATATCCATATGATGGAATATTATTCAGCCATAAAAAGGGATGAAGTACTGATCATGCTATGGTGTGGATGAACCTAGAAACCAGCTAATGCCTTGAACCTTGAAATCAGGCTAATGAAAGAAACAAAAGGCCACATACTGAATAATTCCATTTATACAAAATATCCAGAATAGGCAAATCCACAGAGACTGAAAGCAGATTAGTTGGTTGCCAGCTGCTGGGGCTAAGGGAAAATGAGAAGTAATTCCTTAATAAGTACAGGTTTTCCTTTTGGGGTGACGAAAACGTTCTGGAACTAGACAGCAGTAACAGCTGCGTAACAACGTGAATATACTAAATGCCATTGAATTGTACACTTTAAAATGGTTAAAATGGTGAATTTTATGTTACATGAATTTTACTACAATAAACTAAAATTGTTACTTATAAAAAAAGTGCCCCAGGCTCATTTACATTGTTATACAAAATGCTTGACATTTACATAACACCTATTAATGTGTTAGGAAATCATATACTAGAGCCAAATATGTGGCTCCTCTGGTTACTATTTGTTTACAAGGGAGTTTCTGTGAAGTTTTAGCTAGAAATTGTCTAGCATTTCACAGTAACTACATAAACAACTCTTAACAGTCTTTCTTTCTTAAAAAAAAAAAAAGATTAAACATATCTGTTTCAATCCAAAATAAGTGTAAAATGTAGTGGAATGTGCAGATAGGCATCACTGGATCAACTCCATTGACTCCATACACTGTAAAATAGACCTAAAAAACACTAAATTTGTTTTCAAGTTTTTTTTGTTTTTTTTTTTTGCAGGGATTTGCCCTCAGCTAACATGTTACCAATCTTCCTCTTTTTTTTTTCTTTTACTCCCCCAAGCCCCATTGCATGGTTGTGTATCCTAGTTGTAAGTCCTGGTTCTTCTGCGTGACCTGTTGCCACAATATGGCAACTGACAGACAAGTGGTGGGGTTCCATGACCAGGAAATGAACCCAGGTTGCCAAAGCAGTGAAAGTGCCAAACTTTAACCACTAGGCCATCAGGGCTGGCTCATGTTTTCAAGTTCTAAAATTTTCTTATTTTTACTTTTTACAGCTGCTGAACTCTGCTGCCTTTAAAGGTAGTTCCTGATTAGAGGCAACTAATGCAATAGTGCATGATTCCCTTGGGACACTGGGACCCTGGGACCCTGAAGGGCCCTAGTCAAGGCCTGGGATGAACCTTGAGATTTATCTAATTCATAGGGTTTTTTTTTAATATTATTCATTTTATTTTATTTTTTTTGGAGGAAGATTAGCCCTGAGCTAACTACTGCCAATCTCCCTCTTTTTGCTGAGGAAGACTGGCCCTGAGTGAACATCCATGCCTATCTTCCTCTACTTTATATGTGGGATGCCTACCACAGCATGGCTTTTGCCAAGTGGTGCCATGTCCGCAGCCGGGTTCCGAACTGGCAAAAAGCCCGGGCTGCCGAGAAGCGGAACATGCGAACCCAACTGCTGCGCCACTGGGCCGGCCCTGAGATTTATCTAATTTAAAATTGATATTTATCATAAGGAATGCACTTCTAAATCAAGGTATGGGGAACCAAATCTTTTGAATATTATGTCCAGTATAGAGGATTTCTCGGTTTTCTCTCTGCTGTACCCATTTTTTAAAAAGTATTTTCAAAACACTTTCAAACAAATTAAACAAATGAAACTACCTATGACTTCTCTTTTAGAATGCAGTTTTATTGGCTGTATCCCTTAATTTACATAACATGTTTCATAAATGTGATTTATGGAGTTCTCAAGCTTGGTTAGAGAAAGACAAGTATCACCACTACAATGCAAATATTTTTAGCTCAGAAAACTAAGAATATTTTGCTATTTTAAATCTGAATGCTTTTTATGAAAGATCAAAATGCATGTCTTACACACATATTCATTCATTTCATTCAAATTTTATTTTGCCCAGGGGGATTTGCGCTAGATGAGGTATTGGAAGGCTAGTCTTCTGCCTTGCTAACCTCACTTCCCCGAGGCATGCTGTAAGCCTGTAGTGGTTTGTACGTGGATTTGAAATTGGGGCTCTTGATACAGCTGCATGGAAGTTACTCAAAGCAAAATTCCGTTCTGTGTAAGTGTAAAATAAGACATTTTCATTCTAAAGGTTCACCCTCCCAAATGAATACGAATCTGAGCAACACAATATTTAGACTATTTGGACACAATACTTGTTAGTACTGATCAGAAACAGGTAATTTTTTTCCTGTTTAAGAAAGAAGAACCTGATCCCTGCTTCTGCAAGCCAGTTTGACATATACGAGCACCAGCGAGACCACAGCAGGACCGCCCGGGCCCACCGCATACCAGGCAGGAATAAACACCCTGGGCAGGACGTGAGGTGGAGAAGAGCAGGCCGGAAGTTCAGATCTCCTGAATCCTCCTCCTCCTCCACCATCCTTATTCTGATTATAAAAGTGATACATGTGGAAAACTCCGGAAATAAAGAAGACACAAAGAATAAAGTAAAAAGTCACTTACATACTTCCTCCATCCAAAGATAACCATTGTGAATATTTGGTGTACATCCTTCCAGCATTTATTTCTGTGCATATAGCTACATGTAAATATATTTTAAACAGAACTGGGCTTGCATTCTGTATAGAGTGGTTTGTAACCTGCTTTTTCATTTAATAATATGTATTTAACATTTACAGATTCTACTAACATTAAGTGATCGTTCATCATTTGAGGTAGAGTCAGGACTACAATAATAGATATTGTCTGCAGAGTCCTTTCTATTCGCTGGGTACTGTTACATATTTTATCCATATTGTATCCCTTACAACAATTTCAGGAGGAAGATACCATTTCCCCTCCCTCTCTAGATGAGGCTTAGAGAAGTTAAAAGACCGGACCACTGGAGAGTAAAAAAGTAGGGAGTTTGCCACTTGAAACTGGAAAACAAACGCCCACCTAGTTTCTGGGGCTTGCACTTTACCTTAAAGACGTGGAAGGCTTCAAATTGAATGTTGGGACTTTTATCTCGGAGGAGGTTCATCATGAGCTTGAGGTTCTCGGGCCTGCTGATGTACTTTGTCATGATGGCGAAGTTGTGTCGGTCCAGGATCAGCTCACCCAGCAGCTACAAAAAACCAGAGTCAAAGCAAACATCTGTTTGAGAGTCATCTTATTCAAAACATATCTCACTTCTCACTGAAAAACAAAATATAAATGTGAGTTAAGAATGTTGACATGAAGAAAATTGAGAGTCCTTAAGCATATCTTAAAGCACAGCTATGAAAACAGCAGTTATTAAGTTATTTTAAGCTTTTCACACACAGTTTTGCTAAAGTCAGTACTTGATGCATTTCTGAATCTTTTTTTTTTAAGCCAGTCATTGCTGCAGCTTAAAAAAGCTCTCTCTGAAACTCTCATCAAGAGCTAGCCAGAAATGAATTTATTATTTTCATCGATTACTTCAATTATCTTGCTTCCCAGTAGTATGCTTCCCCCTAGGCATTACGGTAGGATAAGAAGACCAAAATTGACTCTACAATTATACCTCCTTTACCTAAATAAATGTATTCTAGCAGCTAACTAGAAAAACAGGTTAAGGGACTCTTAACTTCCCCCTAACTTTTATTATAAAACCTGATATATAGCCAGAAAAAAAAATCATCGACCCTGAATCCATATGAAGTTTAATATGTACAAGTTTCCAAAAAAAGTAAAGCAAAACATTTTCTGGTGACATAGTTCTCAAAATGCAGCATTACTCCACGTTATAAACTGAATATTTGTGCGCCCTCAAAATCTCTACGTTGAAATCCTAACCTGCAATGTGATGGCATTAGGAGGTGGGGCTTCTGGGAGGAAGGGCATGAAGGTGGAGCCTCCACGAATGGCACTGGCACTCTTATAAAAGAGCCCCGAGAGCTCTCTCACTGCCAGCACCTTGAGCCTGGACTTCCCAGCCTCCAGAACTACGAGCAATAAGTATTTGTTGTCTAAGCCACCCCGTCTATGGTATTTCTGTTATAACAGCCCATACAAAGACACTTCAAAACAAAATAAAAATAGCAAAAGTGAGAACAGTTCAAGACCCTCTAGCAGCACAGCTAAATGTACTGCTGCTCTGCATCATTAACTTTTACTCTTACTGCAGTGGTAGCAATTTTTAAAGCTTCAGCAGCCAGGCAGCCGAAATGTACCCTTAACATCCAGTAGTCCTCCCTTACCATGGTTTTGCTTTCCATGGTTTCATTTACTCAAAAGTCATGAAACATAAAAAAAGAGTATTCTTTGGATAAATACCCAGAAGTGGAATACTGGATCATATGGTAGTTCTATTCTTAATTTTTTCTTTTTTGAGGAAGATTAGCCCTGAGCTAACTACTGCCAATCTTCCTCTTTTTGCTGAGGAAGACTGGCCCTGAGCTAACATCCATGCTCATCTTCCTCTACTTTATACGTGGGATGCCTACCACAGCATGGCTTTTGCCAAGCAGTGCCACATCTGCACCTGGGATCCGAACCAGCGAACCCCGGGCTGCTGAGAAGCGGAACGTGCGCACTTAACAGCTGCGCCACCAGGCCAGCCCCTCTATTCTTAATTTTTTGAGGAATCTCCATACTGTTTTCCACATTGGTTGCACCAATTTACATTCCTACTAGTAGTGTACGAGGGTTCCCTTTTCTCCACATCCTCTCCAACACTTGTTATTTCTTGTCTTTTTAATAACAGCCATTCTGGTGGGTGTGAGATGGTATCTCACTGTGGTTTTGATTTGCATGTCCCTAATGATTAGTGGTGTGGAATACCTCTTCATGTGCCTATTGGCCAACTGTATTACCTTCTTTGGAAAAAAGTCTGTTCAGATCCTCTGTCCATTTGTTAATCAGGCTGATTTTTTGTTGTTGAGTTGTATGAGTTCTTTATATATTTTGGATATTAAATCCTTATCAGATGCATGATTTGCAAATACCTTCTCCCAATTGGTAGGTTACCTCTTTGCTTTGTCCATGGTTTCCTTTGCTGTGCATAAGCTTTTTAGTTTGATGTAGCATCATTTGTTTATTTTTTCTTTTGTTTCCCTTGCCTGAGGAGACATGTCCAAAAAGATATTGCTAAGACTGATGTCAAAAAGTGTACTGCCTATGTTTTCTCCTAGGAGGTTTATAGTTTCAGGTCTTACATTTAAATCTTTAATCGACTTTGAGTTAATTTTTGTGTATGGTGTAGTGGTCTACTTTCATTTCCTTGCATATGGCTGTCCAGTTTTCCCAATGCCATTGATCAGAGAGACTTTCCCTTCTCCACTGCATGTTCTTGGTTCCTTTGTTGAAAATTACCTGTCCATAAACGTGTGGGTTTATTTCTGGGCTCTCAATTCTGTTCCATTGATCTGTGTGTCTGTTTTTCTGCCAGTTCCATGTTGTTTTGATTACTATAGCTTTGTAGTATACTTTGAAATCAGGGAGTGTGATACCTCCAGCTTTGTTTTTTCTTAGGGTTGCTTTGGTTATTTGGGGTTTTTTGTTGTTTCATATAAATTTTAGGATTCTTTGTTGTATTTCTATGAAAAACGTCATTGGAATTTTGATAGGGATTGCACTGAATCTATAGATTGCTTTAGGCAATATGGACATTTTAACTGTGTTAATTCTTCCAATCCATGAGCAAGGAATATCTTTCCATTTCTTTGTGCCTTCTTCAATTTCTTCCAACAATGTCTTATAGTTTGCAGTGTAAAGGGCTTTCACCTCCTTAGTTAAATTTATTCCTAGGTATTTTATTCCTCTTGTTGCAATTGCAAATGAGACTTTTCTTGATTTCTCTTTCTGATAGTTCATTGTTAGTGTATAGAAATGCAACTGATTTTTGTATAATGATTTTGTCCCCTGGGAATTTACTGCATTCGTTTATTATTTATACTAGTTTTTTGGTGGATTCTTTAGGGTTTTCTAAATATAAAGCCATGCCATCCACAAATAGTAACTGTTTTACTTCTTCCTTTCCAATTTGAGTATCTTTTATTTATTCTTCTTGCCTAATTGCTCTGGCAGGGACTTCCAATACTATGCTGAATAAGAGTGGTGACAGTGGGCATCCTTGCCTGGTTCCTGTTCTTAGAGGGATAGCTTTCAGTTTTTCACCATTGAATGTGATGTCAGCTGTGGGTTTGTCATATATGGCCTTTATTATGTTGAGATAATTTCTTTCTATACCCATTTATTGAGTTTTTATCACAAATGTACACAGAATCTTGTCAAATGCTTTCCCTACATCTTTTGAGAGATAATCATGTGATTTTTAATTCAATTTGTTAATGTAGTGTATCATGTTGATTGATTTGCAGATGTTGAAACCATCCTTGCATCCCTGGAATAAATCTCCTTCATTGTGGTGTACACTCCTGTTAATGTATTGTTGCATTAGTTTCCTAATATTTGGTTGTATTGTTGCATTAGTTTCCTAATATTCGGATTTTTGCATCTATGTTCATCAGTGATATTGTCCTATCATTTTCTTTTTTTGTGTTGCTCTTGTCTGGTTTTGGTAGCAGGGTAATGTTGGCCTCATAGAATGAGGTAGAAAGTGTCCCCTCCTCTTCAATTTTTTAGAAGTTTAAGAATGACAGGTATTAAATCTTCTTTGAATGTTTGGTAGAATTCACCAGAGCAGCTGTCTGGTCCCGGACTTTGGTTTTTTGGGAGGTTTTTGATTACTGTTTCAATCCCCTTACTATTCAGACTCTCCATTTGTTCTGATTCAGTTTTGAAAGGTTGTATGAATCTAAGAATTTATCCATTTCTTCCAGGTTATCCAATTTTTGCTGTATAAGCCTTTCATAGTATTCTCTCATAATCCTTTGTATTTCTATGGTATCTGTTGTAATTTATCCTGTTTTGTTTCTGATTTTATTTATTTTGGGCCTTCTGGGTTTTTTAAAGTTAGTCTAGCTAAAGGTTTGCCCATTTTGTTTATCTTTTCAAAGAACCAGCTCTTAGTTTCATTGATCCTTTCTATTGTCTTTTTGGCCTCTACTTCATTTACTTCTACTCTGATTTTTATTATTTCCCTCCTTCTACTGACTTTGGGCTTTGTTTGTTCTTCTTTTTCTAGTTCTTTTAGGGATATAGTGTTAGATTGTTTGAAATTTTTCTTGTTTCTTGAGGTAGGCCTGTATTGCTATAAACTTCTCTCTTACTACTGCTTTTGCTGTATCCCAGACTTTGGTATGTTGTGCTGTCATTTCCATTTGTCTCCAGGCATTTTCTTTCTTTCTTTTTTTTTTTAAAGATTGGCACCTGGGCTAACAACTGTTGCCAATCTTTTTTTTTTTTTCCTGCTTTATCTCCCCCAACCCCCCCGTACACGGTTGCATATCTTAGCTGCATGTCCTTCCAGTTGTGGGATGTGGGACACCGCCTCAACGTGGCCTGACGAGCAGTGTCATGTCCATGCCCAGGATCCGAACCCTCAGCTGCCGCAGCGGAGCACACGAACTTAACCACTCGGCCATGGAGCCGGCTCCTCCACGTATTTTCTGATTTTCCATTAATTCAACAGCTGCTTGGTAGCATGTTGTTTAGCCTTCACATTTCTGTGACTTTTCCAGTTTTCTTCTTGTGGCTGATTTCTAGTTTCATACCACTGTGGTCAGAAAAGATGCTTGATATGGTTTCAATCTTCTTAAATTTATTGAGACTTGTTTCCCAACATACAGTCAATTTTTGAGAATGTTCCATGTAGCCTTGAGAAGAATGTGTATTCTACTGCTTTTGGATGGAATGTTCTCTATGTATCTATTGAGTCTATACAGTCAAATGTTTCATTTAAAGCTGATGTTTCCTTGTTGACTTTTTGTCTGGATGATCTATCCATTGATGTAAGTGGGGCACTGAGGTCCCCTACTATTATTGAGTTGCTGTCAATTTCTCCCTTTAGGTCTGTTAATAATTGCTTTATATATTTTGGTGCTTCTATGTTGGGTGCATATATGTTAATAAATGTTAATGTCTTCTTGATTGATTGTCCCCTTTATCATTATATAATGTCCATCTAATGTCTTTGTCTCTTGTTATCTTTTTTTGGCTTGAAGTCTATTTTGTCTGATATAAGTATGGCTACATCTGCTT